AAAATTCGTATACAGATCTTAGGTGGGGATGAAAGTTACATATGTATATGAAACTCTTAGATGTCATCCAGTTTCCTTAGCTTCGTGATTTAGTAGGACTATTATGATGCACACACGGTATCGAACACTACTAAACAGCTTGAAAAAATTGAATTCTATGTTTTTGTAATTAATTGTTGCCATTAATAAGACAATTTGACATTTAGAGCTTCAATAAAATTGTTTCCTAATTGATTTCTTATGTTACAACTCTTCGGATAATTGTATCATTTTCTGCGCAGAATACAAAAAACGATGGTTTCTCCACTCAAACACCGGAATAACAGAAAATTATCTTTCATATAACAAAACTGACACATTTCACATCAAGAAATTTATTTAAATGACAATAAAACAACAGAAATGTATAAACATCAGGTATCTAAAAGGTATAACCAAGTATGATAGAAGTGATGATATGAAAAAATAATAATGAGAAACCATAAATTATTCAGAGTAGTAAAATATCATCTAATCTCCATTCAGAATACATCCTACAAGAATTAGATGTCATATTTTCGATTATATACAAGATCAGAAGTGTGTGCTGATGGTAACCTATTTTTGATTTCACTTTAGATAAAGTTCATCAATGACCAAAACAGTTTTCAAGCTTACTTAGAACATTTCTAATCCTATCGAAATCACATCTTAAGTTAAGAAGTAATATAACCAGGATATTAAAGAAAAGGGTCCAATAAGCTGAAGAACATGTAAATAACAAACGAAAGTACAGATTGAAATAAAGTATAATTACAATAATAATATTCCTTATGTAAAGGTATAACCTTATTGACAAAAGAAGAATGATTCAAAGTATAAACCTCCTATAAGAAGGATTAGACTTAACAAACCAGTGTTATCTACTAAGCTACTAGGCATCAACAGCCGCTCCTTAGGCGACAGATACCTTTTTTTATGTTACCGCTTGTGAAATCCTGTCGTTAGTTTGACCGAATAGACCAGCTTGTGGATCCTAAACAGGAAGAAAATTTTATCTTGGATTCAACTATTAAGTAATATCTTTCATTACTGTCCAATTAGTCTATATGCTTTGAATGATAAATTGTTTTCTCACGAGAAGTTTATTCAGTGTCTCTTTCGGTGTTTTGTTTCTTTCAAACAGCAAGAACCCCAAGCATGCTACAAATAACAAGGTCAATAATTACATTTCATGGAAGTCCTAGTCACTTTTGCACACTATATGATTTTTAAACCTATAATATTGAAGAAAATAAAAAAATGCTTTTTCGTTATGCCTGACAGCATTACTGTGTTCTTGTTTACCACAATCTCCTACATATTGTATAATACCCAACTATCTAACATGATATACCGAAACGGAATCAACAAACTGGATCGCATTAATTTTTTCTGCTTTTAATGATTTTAATTTTAAAACGTATGTAGATATGCAAGATTTCTTACCCTATTTAGGATATATATTTTAGTTTACTAATTTACTTAACAAAAATTGCTCGAACATGTACTATTCACATCAATCCTCAGCCTAGTTCGGTGTACACAAACAGTTCCAACGGGATTCGATAGAAAGAAAGCTTAGATTTACTAGGTCAAGACGTAACACCGATTCATGAAAATATTGACTCAGTATGAGTAGCAATGAAAAATATAGGTTTTCTGAATAACTGTCAAGAAAAAATTGGTTACAGATCCGAATGACTTGACTTTAGATGGATCACAATGGTAAAAGCATATTCAATGTTAAGCAACCTCTGATTACTAAGCATTTCACTACAATTTGTTTTTTCTTTTCTACTTCACTCATATCCTTCTCCTAGTTCATTAGGATTTTATCCTATTTCTTTTGGATTTCTCTTCCTACGTTGTTTCAGAGTTTTGGAACATGAAACGAGGAACTCGGCCTTGAATTTTCACGCTTCTTTGCTAGTTTGTTTATCAACCACCTATTTCAATCTCACTTTATTCCCATTTTCACGGTTATTTGAATTATACGACTGATTATTTACTCGTTTTTGTCTCTAAAATACTGATAATTTTTCACTACACAACAGTAACTTCTCTCTATCTTAGGTTATTAACTGCAGATTAAATTATATAAGTCTTCCGTGTATATATGGTTTTAAGGAAGACCCTATGGGGTTGTACCATAAACGTATATTTATTTGAATTTTCCTTATCAATCGTTACTAACGAAAACTGGATGGTTTATTTGAGATGAAAACTTAGATTACCATCTTTCAGACTAATCGCAAGTTAACTAAATTCGTTGCCTTAGAATGAGATGGGAATGAGTAAGCAGGTGTTACAAAGTCCTGACCTATTGAAAACTGCTTCATCTATTTTCAGGACCTCTAATAGACTAATATCCTGTACTGGATGAATTCCATGATTAGCAATTCTCTCGGCAAGTTCATCATCACTCAGTCAGAAGTTCAGAAGCTACCAGTTCATACTTTATAGCCTCAAATCGATATATAATCAACAACAAATCTATCATTTCCTCCACCTAATTCATCCCGGTTTGGACTCGAACTTAGAGCTTTGGTTTGATAATCAGTACAATCCAATGAAGATTTTTGTATGCGATCCCCTCATATGACACTGCTACAAAATTTCATTGGATAAAGTGAAATTGTCAAAGGGTTAGAATTTAAGTTTTGTTTCGCATGCTCCGAATAAGTGTTTGTTGTTTAAGAACTGATTGCTCAAGCTAATAAGGCATATCTCTCTCTACAGTATGTGGATTAGATTTTTGCACATTTAGAAAGTGATATCAGTGTTTTCACAGTTTTTGCAGTTCACCACACCAAAGCAGACTATGGAACCTACTTCTTGTTACAGAATACGAATGCAGTGTAATATATATATATATATATATATATATATATATATATATATATATATATATATATATATATATATATATATATATATATATATATGGTAGACAGTCTGCTAGAGTAGCTTATACAGATAAAATTCATTTTTTAGCTGTAACTCTGCTGAAGTGAAGTTTGCAGTCAGTGATCATATCAAAATGATAATAAGACATTTAACATGTTGCAAATTGAGCTTTCAGAACAAGTTTAATGTGAAACTTACTAACATCTATCTAACTATTAATTTAAAAATTTCATACCGATTCTCAGAAAAAGAAGATATGGACGTTGTGCTCAAAAAATGAGATATCTCAGAAATTGATGATTATTTACTGAACGAAAGTCTTCTGAAAAGGATCAAATCTCAAAAGGGACTATGAAATTTTAACAAGCTTCACTTTGCAAGACATAGTAGATAATACTGGGAGAAAACTGTATGAAATTTTCTCGGTTTGCCCAAATCTCTTCTTTTAGAAAGTCAATATCTTTAAGGTGTGCATGATCAACTTCAAAGTTTCAGCAAGAGAAAGATATAAAGTTATTGCGCCAGCTCAAAAAGCCGAAGTAGGTAAAACTAAAACGGTAGTGTACTCAAACAGTTCTCAAGTAGTTATTAGCTACACCCTAATTAAATACCGCTGCACACTTTTGCAACCAATTTCAGCATGCCTCGTTTTCCAAAATACGATCTAGTTGTTGCAAAACACATTAGAGCGATGGTAAGAAATCTGTTTAATGGCCTAATAGTCCTAAGGAAGATTATTTGAAAGCATATCTTTGAGGGCTACATTAGCTGCCCAAATTAAAGTATCTACAGACAGTATTAAGTTTAAATATAAAACATTGCCATAACTGTATTAAACCTTAGTAATTTTCTGCGGATAACCAAAATATTAATTCCATCTAGTTTTTAGTAAGATCTTTTAGTTCTTTCATAAAATTATTCGGAAGAAATAGCTGAAACCAACGCTGATTAGGTAGATGATTACTCCAGAAAATCTCTGGTAAAATTATTTCCATCAGGTGCTTGAAAATTGCCAGGAAACTTCTTATTCCAAAGAGTACTCAACTATTTTGCATTTCACATTTTTTTATTATTTAATAGTTCTCAAGTCTCTGCTTCCACTTTGTAACATTCATTATCAAAATCTAAGTTAGTAATGAATATCACAATGTATGGTGGTGAAAAAGTCATCAGGAACAAGTAGATATTATTGGTCTTGTTCTAAGATGTTATAAAACCAATGAAAAACGTGTACTGAAAAGAAATAACTATCCGAGGGCAGTAATCTACTTTCTAACTAATATAATTAACGCAATAAACTACACCTTATACTAAACGTATTAATCACTACCTATGTCTGGGACAATATGGATCAAAAGTGCTTTATCGTTCATTGCCGGCTGATTTTTTATCAAGAGAATTAGGTGATGGTACAGTTTGTCAGCTTGATAAACTTGGAAGCAGCAACTAAAACAGAATTTGCAGAAATTGGTGAATCACTTCATTCTATGGATTATCTACACTTGAGTCCAATTTCACTTCGATTTCATAGATTGGAAGTGATCATATATATATATATATATATATATATATATATATATATTCAAGTAGAATAAAATCCAGTTTTCATCCAGCAGTCGGGCCTCATAGGTCATTTGCTAGAACATGGGGCCAGAAACCCGACTGTCGCTGGTCCGAATCCTACCACAGTCCAAATTCTCATCTCACCTCCAGTCATCACCTAGCATCAATACTGGCCTGCCAAACCACGGCCATCGTACGCAGTTAAAATAATAACCCATATCTATTAGTTAGGAAACCTGTAAAACAAAGTTTCTGAAGTTGGAGAGAATCTATGAAGTAAAATGTTCACCATAAGTCACTATCACTAGCTAACCTATGTTCGGATAAAACTTCATTTATATTTCAGACACATATAATCCCTTGGACAACTGCTCATTTGCTTTTTATTTCATCTGCACAAACTATAGACCCTCATAACTTACGAACTCTGAATTCAAACAAATTAAGGTATCAAAAAAAGTGAAAATCTCTTTTACGAAAGATATCGATTTTAAAATGCAGTTACTTACCTTATTTTCTTGTGCCTGATCTTCCGACTGATCGCTTCTATCATTGTTTTCCTTGCTGAAAATGAAATTTGAATGGTATTTAAGTGTCAATAATGTGAGCCTAATCTTGAGTGCGGATTTTAAATTGAATACTGAACAAATATTTGCTCTAAAATCTCTCGTCAATACAGCATCCTACTCATAAAGATTAAGTAGTTAAAGGAGAATCACGAAATATTGATCTTCAAAAATGTGTAACGAGATGACCAAGTCCTCCTATATATGTTCCTGCATCAAATAATAAAACATTCAAGCCTGAATTCTGAATTTATCTTAACTTCCATGGCAATACAAAGTGCTGAGCACTAAGTGACATACTTAAAGGCAGGAACGTAGATTTTCGCAAACTTCATTTTGAGACTCATTACTGGACAAAATAAATTAAAAATACTTTTCATTGATATTTCAAGTTATCATGCATAAACTTACAGTGACTTGACTAACTTCCTATCTCTGTAGCCCCGAAAGTTTGACTGGATTAGGGTTGCAGCATTCTCTTGACGCAAATGTTCAGTTTCTTGAGTAGCTAGATGTCTACGATATTCGGCTTGAATACGCACAGCAGCTTGTTGATGTTCAGCATTATTAGCACTACAAGCACCAGTCTTTTAATGAACAAGAAGGTTTTCGCATTTAAAATGAATGAAAGTTGTTCTTTTCTCAGTATAATAGAATAAAAATGGTAACAAAAGTCAAGTAATAATCAACTAGCAAACAAATAAATGTCTATATAATATCATTCTTATTTTTCTTAGGAATCTTTTCGGCCGAAATTCTAAAAATACAGGAAGGAAGTCGGTACAAAAAATGTATAGGTCAGTATCATTACTTTGGTGTGAAATAAAATAAACGGCATGAAATGCTAAAATATCTATAGTATGTACCTTTTAAATACTCAACTTTACCCAATTTAGTCGCCAGTAATCGAAGAAGTTAATGGTTATCCAATGATCAGGTTCGTATTGTTACCAAAACGTTAACTGAATCAGAACTGAAATTTGGTGAGATTGGCAACAAGTGTAAATAAACACTACGTAGGATGTCCTGTATCTAAGATTCGTGCACGTTAGAAACCTTATAAAAACTAATGTACCTTATTGTACTCGAACCAGTTTCTAAAGGTACTGAAGACAAGGACTTCATCACTAAGGGCTTGAGTCAAAGTAAAATTGGCTGACTTCATTTTCGAAAGCAAAATGATCCTGCAAAATCATGAAAAATTCTTCAAAAGCAAATATTCAGTAAAGTTACATACATTTATTTGTAGTATCCTCCTAAATAATCTATCATCATCTTTAAACTGTCTTAATAGCTGGGAAACATTACAGCGATATGTTACTGATAATTCCTCATTTTCATTATTCAGAATGAGGTATGGTTATAGTCAATCGTATAACAAGGATGACTTCTTTCTTTGGTCAACTCCTAGCTAACCTAGAACTGTGATCAGTCTACCACAGTGATGTGTATATTTAGCAAAAATTGACTGAATCAAAAAACTGTCAGACAAACACCACCGATGTCTTCCTCTCAAGTGTATTTAGATATCGCAGTATCTGACTGTTTTTAAAACAAAAGCTGATATATACTCAGATTTTATATCCTTCAGTTCGAACTTCGGTAGGAACAACGTCACTGACTAGTCTTAAATGGCATATAATGCGCATCCTGGATTCCATTACTAGCCATTATTCATGATTACTATGACACAATCTCTATAATTAAGAAAACACAGATTTACTAGTTTTGACAAAAGTGACGAAGATCATTGGTGTTCAGATGCATCAGATTCCCATTACTAAAAACAGCCATAAAAACACCAAGTGTTAAATTGATGTTGCTGATGCTTCACAGATCACACCGTCTTTTTTCAAACACTAGAAGATACCATTTATACATCACTGAAAAAGAATAAATTTCAGCGAAGACGTAATCATGAAAAAGCAAAGTACATCATCTTTCCTACCTTCTTCTAATTCTTGAACTCCTTAACTAAGCAAGAAATGTGACATAGCTAGACGCATCTAAAATATTTGCAAGGATAGCTATTCTTCACCAACCTTAGGTTTTAAAATATATTGGGAATCGAATTTTAAGTGGTATTTTTGCTTAACACTGGAAAACAGCAATAATGTTTCTTCGAAATATATATCTTGCTCTTGATAATCATATGTCGGATAATCACACTAAACTACTCTCATCAAAGTACAAACTTATGGTTGAATATTTCGGTTAAAATAAACGACATCAGTAACCAAACGCGTGACTTTTTAGAATTGACGTAAAAGGGACCGAGCTCAGAAGTTATTCATTTACGAGAAAACTGATTTAAGTTCCTTGCTCTCCAGGTAGAAATTTCTAAAAATATGTATGACTTAGGCGTTTGTGGAATATCAAGTCCCCTTATCTAACTTCAGGCGGCATGTTCATTAATTAGAACATCTGAAAGATGTTTAGTGGATACATAGTCATTGCCTAAACAAACGTTAAACGTTTGACAGAGTCAGACAAACTAACATTTGTAGAACTAAGCCGGTTGATTTTCTTGGGCCTTACACAAGCATAGGAAGGAAAATGACAATCGGAAAAAATATTTAAATGCAGAACAAGTAGGTTGATGCTTATTCACTCTTATACACTCCAAATAAACTTTGAAAACTGGTCAGTATTAAGTGTATTATAACCAGGTTAGCTTTAAGGTGATCAGGTGGTCAGATTGGGATATGATTTTTCTCAAGGAGCACTTACTGTTAGCCTTGGTAGTACAAGGAACTAAAGTGATCCTACTAACTTCTTTCATAATTCGAAGACAAAAAATAATGTATTATCTTGTTCAAAGTCATATACTGTAATGCAGACCTACATAAGTGACGGTTCAGCACTGCAGATTTGGGTCTGCTGTAATGTCATTCAGTTCATATCAGGGTGCAAATCTTGAATCACAAACATGAATAATATTATCTAAATAGTGGAGGGGATAAAGCAAGACATAACACACGTGAAAATTCAGACTAATAAGACGTTTCAATGCATTTGAGTAAAAACGATAGATGCTGAGTTGTATCACTCACGAGGCACTAAATTATTGCTCAAGATAGCTTACAAGAGACCACGTACTGTGCATTCCAATTGAGATAGTCTGCATGAGGTGCATATACTTTATTCTAGTCTAAACGTTTTGCTAAGAAATTTTTTCAGTTTGACCTTTAAGTGCAACCAAACAAAGTTCTGCGTCATCAGAATTACTGTTTCCCGGTATTTTACTGGCCCATGTCACAGTCCACTTCACTATTATATGATTAAACAATTTGCAGTGCTGGCTGCTCAGCTGCTCAAGTACTGACTGTCTTGGAGGATAGTCTGTGGTTAAAGACTAAACATTTTGCTTTGTGAAAGAAATTTTCCCTTATTTAGTTGATGTCTGGTGTCCACACTGTAACAAATAGTTCACTTTAAAATGTTAGATTGTTTAAAAGCAACCAATACGACATGTTCATCAGATGCTTTAAGCAAGACAATCAAATAATACTGTTCCATATAAACAACTTATGCTGTTCGACTTTAAAAGCTACACGAATTTAGCGGATAATGAATACTTAAAAATTAACCACTGTTTTTACAGAGTGTCACAAGCAGTTTCATGTCACGATTTTGGAAATCCATAGAGCACAACTTTCTGTCATCTATCTTCTAAACAGCACATTGTGATACACCACTGCTTATATCGTATAGTTTCCATGACATTTGCTGTCTCTAGGGTATCGAACAGCTGCAGTGCTGAAAAAAATGAATTTCTTTATCTCTAAATCATATCCCCTGTAGGGTTTCACATGTACTTAAAATGGGTTTTCAGTTACGGTTCTGGAAATACTACTCGGTGGGTTTATAATAATTCAGGCAAGAAGTCATTATAGAAAACATATTGTTTATTTTTACCAAGCTAAAACTTGTAAGTTGTACTAGAGAGATATAAAGCTTGAAAAATGTGGGTCCATCACTACAAAGTCCATAATCAGACCCGCATTACCAGATAAAAATGTCAACATTCAGTGTTTATTCCACGTATCCAAAGTCAGATCCATAGGATTTAAAGGAATGACATATGCATTGTTTTTCATCAAGTAATGAGAAGCTGGATAGCGTACAGCAATATTCGTACCTGGTCATGATTTTAAGGAAATTGAGAGTACGGTCATCGGTCTGACCCTCTCATGGATGACACGGAAATTCGGCAAGCCATTCTTAAAGTAGTGTTGGATTCTGAAAACAGTTTAGGCTGAGATTCATGAATAATCCAAGCAAACCGAAACGGAGAAAATAAAGCATGTTTAGGGGAAATAAAGGGAAAGTGAAGAAGGAAATGAAGTGAAAAAAGGTGGAGAAATGCAAATATTCGCTCTTTTTTACACCCTCTCCTCTCGACTGTCACCTTTTCTTTCTTAATGTCGCCTTCCTCGATCGAACTACCTGTCTACCTTCCCCATAGAAGTCACTTTTTCTCCTCCCATTTAGGTTTCTTTTCATACAAATACCCCATCAGTCTACTTTTCCCCCTTCAACTCCCTTTTTATTTTCCATTCCACCCCCCTTCATCTCTCTGGCGTCTTAAAGTTATTCGTCAGTTGGATGAAGAACACACTTCAGTTGCCAATTAACTAAAACTTAGTTAACCCACTTTTTGAACAAGCGTATTGTACACGTTGTTTTGCTGATAACTATTTGAATACTGCCGTTCAGTCTTAATGCTCACACACACTCGACTTATTTTTATAAGAGTACAAGTTATAATTAGGCTTTAACTACAAATGTACTTGTAAGCAAGTATAGTTAGCAGGTTAACTAGATAATTAGTGTAGGTAAAACTTGGTCAGATTGTTTCAAGTATAGAAGTGAACTCACGCAATACGCCTTGTTATTGTAATATCTATCATCAAGTTTAGCACCAAGCTGAGCTAGATCATCGATACCAGTTTCTGAAATACGTCGAAGCTTTTAACGATGCTAATACCTTCTCTCTTTCTTAAAAGTTCTTCGAAATACTTTGCGCCGAAGCCGTAGATATCTTTTGGCTGATGTCTGAGAACTTCTCTTGCCAACCCTTCCAACAAGTTTGGAAAGCCGTGAGGAACTCTTAATGTTGTGTTGGAGAAAGGAACAGCCATATCTCTTTCAAATATTGGCAGTTTCTATGACAATAATCAAAAAGTGAAGGAGCATAGTAAAACAATTTTGCAATATCCAATATCTCTTCAATGAGTGCAACAAACTGGTGGTGTCATTGACGATTTATGAAAATTAATGGTTGATCAGAGGTAGCAGCACGTTTTTCCAACAATTTTTCAAATAATTCTCAGTGGCCACCAGTGGTACTTTCCATAGCAAGGAGTTCTCTAGTGTGCATATCCTTGACACAAAGAATTCGGTTGTAATCCTGCTGTTTGCTTTTTGGAATCCTACTTATATGGCTTCCCGTGTGGTAATTAATCCTGGCTTCGTGGTAATTGTTTGGTATGATGGTTCTACTGACAAACGATCTTATACGTCGTTATCATATTACCCCTCATCCTTCGATATTTATGAGTGAATGAGTCAAGGTGATGTAGGAACTTTCTATGTGGACCGGATTTTAGTGATCTTGTTGCAATATCCTCTATCTTCTAAGTACGACGTGAATCAAGCTTGTACTAGGTCAAAAAAGGTGTGAACTGATTGTCTATGTTGAAATAATGTTCGAGTGTCCCATGTGGTCTAATTTGTAACCTACTACAGTGTTCCTTATATAAACGCACACTTCCATCGGGATGGAAATATGTCATTCTCTCTCATATTTAAAGATAAGGCAGAAAGAGCCTAAAGTACCATGGCAGCTTTATCAGTGTTGCCTGGATTTACCAAGGCCTTTGACGGACTCACACGCCACTCTTATACGCAGAATAGAAAAGCTCGGTGCTGGCAATCAGTTGCCATCCTATATTCCAAACTATTTGCATGGGAAATTGTGCTGTATAAATTAGACAGTATTAGTTCAACCTGGAAAGCAAATCATTTGGTGAATCACAAAGGAGTGGTTCACAGCCCTCTGTTGTTCATTCTTCTTGTGAATAACCTTCGACTGAGTCTGTAGCGTCATACACTTCCCCAAAATCAATAGCCTAGGGTTTGACGACTTTCGACATTGATGCTGACCTTGATAGTTTAACTGGACTCGCTAAGCTGAAGGCACCCGGTCAAGCATCCTCGCCATTTGGCACGCTGTCGTGTTACGTTGCACTGCTCGTATTCGACTCTCTAGCCAGTTAGTTGGAACGCATCGGTATTTTGGCATAACCATCCAAATATACTATTCCATCCGACTACGCTATCGTGTTCTACCTTGGTCTCGTATTCGTGGGTATATAACAAGTTCGAATAATTAGTGATTGGTCTTTGCGTCTGTCAGGTTCGCACCAGGACAAATCCTAAATTGGTGAGCCCGACGTGATCACATATCCCGACCAATAACAAATATTGAATTGGTGAGCCTGTTCCATTTTATATTTGTTTATTGTTTTCATTTCGATAACATTTATGTATCCATTTACTACATTTTCTCATGTCCGACCACACTCCCAGGCTTATTCGTATTAAGCCGACCCCGAACACGATCCAACTCGTGCCATATTGGCCAGACAATGCAGAAACATGGTTTCTGTATGCTGAGGCCGATTTTCGAGAACAGGGTGTCTCAGATCCTCAATCTCGATTTCTTGCCGTCATACGTTCACTACCGCGAGAATAAAATATGTATGTTACAGCAAACATGTTTAATCCTGAAGTAAGTGATCATTATGCACTTCTAAAGGCCGCACTCTTGAAGAAAAGCGATCTGACAGATCGCCAACGTCTAGACGAACTGCTTCGTAACATCGAGCCAGGCAGCCACTCAGCCACTGAAGTCCTCGCACGCATGCGAGAAGTAATAGGTGCACGAACATTTGACGATGGTTTCTTCTGAGAACTATTTCTCTCGAAACTACCACAACCGGTGCAAACCGTGTTGGTGACACTCCAGTCAGTCCCACTCGACGACCTGGCAGCCTCAGCAGATAAAATACTGGAGATATCCAGCAGACCAGTCTCCAACGTATATTCTATCTGCGACAAAACAGAGCGCCAGGATTCAGAGGTGACCAAGTTGTGCAACTCTGTGAGACGGTTGCTACGATCTCGAAGTCCTAGATCACGTAGCACTTCACAGAAACGCACCTTAGCGCATCGCAGCAGGTCGCGTGGTAGCCCTAAAACGAAACCCAACAGGGTGGAAAACCCTGAATGGTGCTGGTTTCATAACACTTACGGGGATGAAGCCAGAAAATGTCGTAAACCATGCCGTTTTAAGAAGGACCCAAACTCGGGAAACGGTCAAGCCGGCACGTGCTCACGGCAACCGTAGCCGGCGGAAAAAGCTGTTTGCTCTACGTCACCGACATTAAAACGAAAGTCCGCTACCTCGTCGACACCGGTGCAGAAGTTAGCGTTCTTCCAGCAACGACAAAGGAGCGTCATCTCGACCCATCCTTCAATCTTCAAGCAGCCAACGGCAAGGCAATCGCGACATTCGGGAGACGGTATGCCTACCTCAACTTAGGTTTACGCAAACCTATTCACTGGATTTTCCTCCTGGCAGACGTCTCTATGCCTATCATTGGCATAGATTTGCTGAACCATTACGATCTACTCGTAGATGCTCGCCGTCGACGACTGATAGATAACAACACAAAGTTATCCATTGGCGGCACCACCTATGTAGGTCCGAGTTTAGCCATCGTTAGGACTAAACAATCAGGCGACGCGTCCTACCAGGCAGTTCTGGAGAAATATCCAGAGTTACAACAACCGAAACACACTCTACCGTGCATAACCAGCAATGTTATGCATCACGTCACAACCACAGGTCCACCTGTGGCATCCAAAGCTCGCCGTTTAGCCCCCGATAAGCTTCAAACGGCGAAAAATGAATTCGACCATATGCTCGAACTGGGCATTATCAGACCGTCAAACAGTCCTTGGGCATCGCCATTGCACATGGTTCCCAAAAGGGATAGCAACGACTGGCGTCCAACCGGTGATTACCGAAGGCTCAACGCCAAAACAACCCCAGACCGCTACCCGATACATCAATACAAACCATCGTACACTCTGCCTTTTTTTATATCGATTTTTATTACCATGTGATAAAAACTAAAAAAAAGCCGGCGAAGGTAAGCGTAAATTTTTACTTTTCGATATGTTTATATATAAATAATTCTCATTTTTACGCAACGTTTTCGTGGTATTAAAGACTTTTATTTATATTCCAGGTGCAACGAGCACTGGACGGAACGTCGAAAGGAACAGATGACCGCGACCGACGTACAATTTCATTTATTGTATTTTACTTATTTGATCGCCACGACACCCTAGAATAAGGTTCAGACAACCAGGGGCCACCTCACGCAGTGAGCCCATCGGAAGAGTTTTACCAGTGGAGAAACCACTGGGTTTTTACTTCCGGCTGGTATCGTCTTAGGGTCCTCACGAACCCACTAGGGGGGGAGTGATCTGTAGCGTCATACACTTCCCCAAAATCAATAGCCTAGGGTTTGACGACTTTCGACATTGATGCTGACCTTGATAGTTTAACTGGACTCGCTAAGCTGAAGGCACCCGGTCAAGCATCCTCGCCATTTGGCACGCTGTCGTGTTACGTTGCATTGCTCGTATTCGACTCTCTAGCCAGTTAGTTGGAACGCATCGGTATTTTGGCATAACCATCCAAATATACTATTCCATCCGACTACGCTATCGTGTTCTACCTTGGTCTCGTATTCGTGGGTATATAACAAGTTCGAATAATTAGTGATTGGTCTTTGCGTCTGTCAAGTTCGCACCAGGACAAATCCTAAATTGGTGAGCCCGACGTGATCACATATCCCGACCAATAACAAATATTGAATTGGTGAGCCTGTTCCATTTTATATTTGTTTATTGTTTTCATTTCGATAACATTTATGTATCCATTTACTACACTTTCTCATGTCCGACCACACTCCCAAGCTTATTCGTATTAAGCCGACCCCGAACACGATCCAACTCGTGCCATATTGGCCAGACAATGCAGAAACATGGTTTCTGTATGCTGAGGCCGATTTTCGAGAACAGGGTGTCTCAGATCCTCAATCTCGATTTCTTGCTGTCATACGTTCACTACCGCGAGAATAAAATATGTATGTTACAGCAAACATGTTTAATCCTGAAGTAAGTGATCATTATGCACTTCTAAAGGCCGCACTCTTGAAGAAAAGCGATCTGACAGATCGCCAACGTCTAGACGAACTGCTTCGTAACATCGAGCCAGGCAGCCACTCAGCCACTGAAGTCCTCGCACGCATGCGAGAAGTAATAGGTGCACGAACATTTGACGATGGTTTCTTCTGAGAACTATTTCTCTCGAAACTACCACAACCGGTGCAAACCGTGTTGGTGACACTCCAGTCAGTCCCACTCGACGACCTGGCAGCCTCAGCAGATAAAATACTGGAGATATCCAGCAGACCAGTCTCCAACGTATATTCTATCTGCGACAAAACAGAGCGCCAGGATTCAGAGGTGACCAAGTTGTGCAACTCTGTGAGACGGTTGCTACGATCTCGAAGTCCTAGATCACGTAGCACTTCACAGAAACGCACCTTAGCGCATCGCAGCAGGTCGCGTGGTAGCCCTAAAACGAAACCCAACAGGGTGGAAAACCCTGAATGGTGCTGGTTTCATAACACTTACGGGGATGAAGCCAGAAAATGTCGTAAACCATGCCGTTTTAAGAAGGACCCAAACTCGGGAAACGGTCACGCCGGCACGTGCTCACGGCAACCGTAGCCGGCGGAAAAAGCCGTTTGCTCTACGTCACCGACATTAAAACGAAAGTCCGCTACCTCGTCGACACCGGTGCAGAAGTTAGCGTTCTTCCAGCAACGACAAAGGAGCGTCATCTCGACCCATCCTTCAATCTTCAAGCAGCCAACGGCAAGGCAATCGCGACATTCGGGAGACGGTATGCCTACCTCAACTTAGGTTTACGCAAACCTATTCACTGGATTTTCCTCCTGGCAGACGTCTCTATGCCTATCATTGGCATAGATTTGCTGAACCATTACGATCTACTCGTAGATGC